TCTAGAAAGAATGGAGGAACACCAGGTATGTGTGTGGCACCGGAAGCCTGATTCAGGGACCAGGGATTGAATCCTGTGCTGAGTGCTGCTGGTCATTCAAATAAAATGAGGACTGAAAAATGACGATTTCATTTAGTGACGTGGTGGCCAATGGTAACCTTGAGAAGGGCAGTTTCAGCAGAGTGGTGGGGGGTAAAATCCTAATGGAGAGGACTTAAAAGCGAATAGGAGATAAAATCGAAGAGGGTGAGTAGAAATTTTTTCAAAGTTTTTGGCCTTTTTTTTTTTTTTTTTTTTTGGCCTTTTCTAAATGGATGGAAAGAAATGAGATAGTAGCTACAGGGGGCACGCGAGTTTAAAAGAAGTCTTTTTTCCCTCAAGACGGGAGAAATAATAGCATGTATATAATGATGATGGAAATGATCCAGTAGAGGGGGAAAATTGATACAGGACGGTTGAGGAAGCTAGAAGTGTTTAATGTGAGGAGTGGGGGGTGTCGGGGGAACTAGTGAGCTGAATATTCGGAGAGCTGTTTGGCGGTTTTTAGATCCCCGGAGTAAGGGTAGGGAATAGACAGAGGGAACAGATCTGGTAAATTGAGAGTGAGTGGGGATTGGGAGAGAATGGAGTCAACGGGAAGATGAGCTCAGAGTTGAAGAGCAGGTCAAATGGAAGCGAGAAAGGGGGGATAACGTGACACTAAGTCATGAAAAGAGAGAGGGATGTTGATATTTGAGGTTTCAAAGATGAAGGGCACCTGGGTAGCTCAGTTGGTTGAGCATCCGACTCTTGATTTCGGCTCAGGTCATGATCTCGAAGTTCATGAGTTCAAGCCCCACGTTGGGCTCCGTGCTGACAGTATGGAGACTGATTGGGATTCTCTCTCTCTCTCCCCCCTGTCTCTGTCTCCCAAAATAAATAAATAAACTTAAAAAAAAAAAAAAGACTTGGGGCACCTGGGTGGCTTAGTCGGTTAAGCATCTGACTGACTCAGGTCACTATCTCACGTTTCCTGAGTTCAGGCTCCGCGTCGGGCTCTCTGCTGTCAGCACGGAGCCTGCTCCGGATTCTGTATCTCCCTCTCTCTCTGCCCCTTCCCTGCTTGTTCTCTCTCTCTCTCTCTCTCTCAAAAATAAATAAACATTAAAAACAAACAAAAAAAGACTTCAAAGATGAAGCCACTTCCAGAGATGACAAGGTTTCAAGTGTTGCTTTTGGGTGTGAGTGGAAATAAAGTTGCTCCCCATAAATACTGGCCGTTTGCTGGAATCACTAACTGACAGAAGTACAAGAGTGGCGAGGGAGGTGGTTAAGCTGGGACAAGGGGACAAGGACAGGTGGTTAAGCTGAATGGGGTGAGTGTGGGAAGCAAAGGGCCCAGCTACAGAAGAGACCACCATTTGGGGTGGGGGTAGTGAGCTTCCTATCCCGGGAAGGGTTCAAGAAGACACCGGTGACTCAGAGTTTAAAAAAAGAACTCTTCAATCTAAAGTTTTAGGTTCATTAGGGGCGCCTGGGTGGCGCAGTCGGTTAAGCGTCCGACTTCAGCCAGGTCACGATCTCGCGGTCCGTGAGTTCGAGCCCCGCGTCGGGCTCTGGGCTGATGGCTCAGAGCCTGGAGCCTGTTTCCGATTCTGTGTCTCCCTCTCTCTCTCTGCCCCTCCCCTGTTCATGCTCTGTCTCTCTCTCTCTGTCCCAAAAATAAATAAACGTTAAAGTTTTAGGTTCATTAGCAGGAGATTTGAGAACTTTCTAGCCTAAGTCGGATACAGTAATTATTTGATTTGAGCTATGCCTCTAGAAAAATGAAGTTTTCTATATACATTAGAAATTGTTTTCTGTAAAAATTATTTTCCCGGGAGAGTGAGTTTTATCCTACTTAAGATCAGTAACAGTCTGTCATACCTAGTCCCTCATGGTTCTCTCAAAAGGCTTCCGATGGCCTGCACATTCTGGCACCTATGTGCAGGCACGTAAATAATTTTGGAGTAAGTGATACATCACAGATCCCATATTCTCGAGTTTAATGTATACATTCTCCTTAGTGCCGTTAAATGTAAATAATGATTGGCTTTGTAGTTAGGGCACATCAAACAATAAATAACCCTTGACTACAGAGTCGGTTTTTCTCTAAGTGGGTCTCCACCAAAATGCCAGCCTGTTCTGGATCATCCCTTGAAAGCGTCAGCGAGGCAGAGGTCTCAAGTACCAGCCGAATGTAATACGTTTCATCAGTTTAAGTAAAACAGTAATGTAATTCAAACTACAAAAAAAGAGTGTCAAAGAGAACTACTTTTGGGACTAGCCAGTGCTTTGGGATTATTTCTATCCGTGTCACTTACCAAAGAGAAATAACAATACCCAAACACACTTGGAATACGTGTATGCAGCTTAAAAAGCACACAGCTTATTTTTCTTTTATTCAACACAGTTTCCTTCACCTCAGTAATTTTTCCTTCCCTCATCTCCCCGGGGAACTCTGTAAGTATAATCACAAAGCCTTAAAGAAATTTGCTAGAATTTTTTTTATTGTATTTACTGAGAATATCACATTGTTCCACAGTAAATGATTTTCTTCTCCAAATGATTACAAAGCTCTTTTCATTAAAAAGGATTTGCTTATCTACATGAAATTGCACATTATAAAAAAAATCAATTATAAATTATACTCCTTAAAAAGAAAAAAAACAGTTTTTAAAGGCAAATACTAAAATACTGCATACTGATCAAATCCAGCATAATCATTTCACATAGTGATCTACACTTAAAACAACTACTGTGCCAAAAATGGCATCCTGTGTAGGTAGAGAAGCAGAGCCACGCTCTGGTGCACAGTGTGCCTTGGAATAATTTGGTTTTGAGGTCTAAGATACAGCATGTTTTTCTAACTTTGAAAACATGCAAATAATTTAAAAATTGCTTTTTGAGATAAACATTAAAATAAGTTGACATGAAAAATGTCACATTATATGAGGAGATACTTAAAATATCCAAGCTGTCTCTTAAAACTGTAGGGTTCTGTTTGTTGTGGCTCCAACTTTCAGGCTAAAATAAACCGATCGGAGAACGAACTGACAAAATGCAAATTTATCAAGCATTGTGCAGTGCCTTTGCAAAACGTACAGTTCTCCAATCACAATAAATTAAGTTACATCAGAAGTTACTGAAGGGATATTTAATCTCACTGTACAGTGACTTCTGATGAACAAGTCCCCATTCTCCCCTCCACATTTAACTCATGTTAACAGTAGAAAGGAGTTATCGTTAGTTAGCAGAGAATCCAGTATACTCTAGTATGGTCTTCCTAATTTTCTATAGTGCACCATTTTCCTAATTTACATTTATAAAATCCTCATAGTTAAGGCAGTCTACAAAAGTCAGCAGGATTAAATAAAAACCTGTTGTCCTCACTTCATCTGAATCCTACTTACGAGACATTAAAACTCAGAGATCCATGTGGAATTTTAGGTGGGTGTCATACAATTGGCTACAACCATGAAATGCTGAGAACCCTTAATAAATCGTAGATCTGAGGTTTGCTGACACCCAGATGTGGTCCTTACTCAATTCTTTGTTAAATCTGAAAGACGAACAATGATACTTTCAGTGAGAATTTTTTTAAATGTAACTCATTGTCCAAGTTTTGAGATTGATGACTCCCCAAACTCGAATTTTAGCCTGAAAAATAGCTTAAAATATCTACTTAAAATAAGCTTATTAGAAAGCTATTTTGTACATATGTAAATATAGATATACGATGAAACATACATAAAATTTTCTCTGTACCCTCTCAGAGTTACAGAATACTTTGAATAGCTAACTTTGTGCTAGAAACATTGATAAGGGACTTTTGTATTTTTTAACTGAGATATAATTGACATATAGCATGGTACGGGACCTCTTCCTTAAAGTTATTACCTTGGGGGGGCTATGTTCATTACTAAGTTTTCATTTAGTGATTATTTTCGTACCAGTTTTACACTTGGAAGCCTTATGTGTTAACAAAAATCATATACCTCTAAGTAAATACTGGTTTTTAGGTGAGGTTTTTTTCCTTAGATGTATATACAAAATACAACATGCATAATACTGCTGGATCTACACCTCTCCTATTGTGTTATATTTAAAAAGAAAAAATAATTTTGAAAGGAACATGAAATTTAGCACCAGTTTTGACTTAGTCTTTCTTTGGTAGGAAAAAAAGGCACCAAATATATAGTGTGCTCATTGTATGGGATCCAAAAACAGCACTCATGAAACTCTCAGTCCCTGACATACTCTTCCAGTATAGACTGAATTATGAAAGATACTTTGACCCATTAACTTTCTAGCATATTAGAACATACTACAGAAGACTACATTTAGAGAATATCATAATAGAAAATGTTTTTGTGCTTACCCACATTTAAGATATTTAACGGAATGACTCTTCTAATATGGACAGATACTGAAAAGTATTATCTGGTAAAGAATAAAAGTTATACATCAGAGGCTCCAAAATATTATCACAGACTTAATTATAATGTTAATTTATATTGATAGTTCCTACAATATGCATGGTTAGTGACATTCAACTCCAAAATACTTTTCTTACAACATGCATACTGAAAGGCTAGAAACATCTTTAATTAGATTAGGAACTTGGGAGTTAACTCCTTCACTGTTGCCACACTCAATGACAGCATTTTTAAAAACTCCAGTGGTCCCTGTTCCACTAGGAAAGGGGTGCCTCTGACAGGAGTTTAACATGTAAGCTGTAAGGTTAAGTAAGGCACAAGCATATAATCTGTTGTCAGTGATCATCCATTTTCCTGCCAAAGAAAACACAAATGAAAACAAGAGTTCATCATCAAGCTGCCAGTATAATTTGAAAAGCCACTAGTGAAGCATTTTAGTAAGTGTTCATTATTATATAGCAATTATAAATTTCTCCAGTTTTTCTGTTTCAGATTATCCACAGGGCACATTGGTTAATATTCCTTTTTTTGTTCTTCTTATAGCCACTTGTCAGAACAAAGCACTTAAGAAATTTTACTGATATTGTGGCCCCCTTTACTACTTGGACTCCCTTGCCTTTCGATCTCAGAATCACCACTAGCTCCCTTCTGATTAAGCAAGAATTAAGCGGGGCTTTTAGTTGGACACTGAAAGCTGAGGTAGGTGGACCATCAGGATCAAGTACTTAGAAAGGTTTGATTTCATTCCCAATGTCTTTCTAACATACTAACAAAAATTTGAAATCATCTGTTTTGTAAATGAGGTAGCCTCCTATATTGTATCCTGTCAAGAAACCATGGGAGATTTCCTTGAGTGTATAGATGTCAAGATGATTCATGTTTACTCTTTCAAAACTGACAATTTTAAAAAGGACATGCTAAGTAAACTATGTCCCAAGTTTCAAGGTTTCTTTGAGTGATTCGGAGATGTGATGTAAATTGTTTTCTGGGTCTTTATCGTCTCAGGAGTCATCTAAAGTCATCTGATCAAGTCCACATTTATGTAAGTTCAGTAACTGTGGTTCTAAGTTGTATGCGGTTTTCACATTTAGCTATGGGCATTTGGCCCTTTATTTTTGACACTGTAACCTATCACTCTATAGTGTATTTATAAAACAAAGCGTTAGCGTTTGCCAACAAATCAACTGATAAAAATGGCTGTGACTATAAGATTATAGTGAGCCCAGGAGCTCTCTGTTGCTCTCCTCGTTCTTCTTTGCCCCGCGAACCAGTCTCAAACTCAGCTCTAGATGGTCTTTTTAGTTCCTTTACACCAAAGTATCAACAAAGCTCAGTTACTATAATATGAGCAGAATTAATGATTGTCAGCCTTCCTTGTCTCCTGTGTCCTTATTTCACATTAGCACATCACCGTTAACAAATGGCCAACTTGTTCTTCTGTTTTAATAACAAGGCAAAGTTTTGTTTTTAAGAGTTAATTAAATTATGATGGATGATACATTTTTCTCTTAGCCAAGATACCACTTATCTTTCAAATTAAAGAATATAAATGTACAGGTGCCTGGGTGGCTCAGTCGTTTAAGTGTCCAACTCCTGATTTCGGCTCAGTTCCTGATCTCACAGTTCATGGGTTCGAGCCCCATGTGGGGCTCTGTGCTGACAGTGCGGAGCCTGCTTGGGATTCTCTCTCTCTCACCTCTCTCTGGCCCCTCCCCTGCTTGTGTTCTCTTTCTCAAATAAATAAAAACTTAAAAAAAATTTTTTTTAAAGAATATAAATGTAAAATAATGTTTCACTTCCTTCTCCTTTTCACACATGGGAAAAAGCAACAATTTTTAGCCTAATGCAAAAAATGCTCCTTAATGTTTATGCCAGCAATGATGAAGTTTTCAATTAGAAATTTCCTAAGGAGTCTAAAACTTAAATTGTTTACATATTTAAAAAAAATTGTTTTAATGTTTTTATTTTGAGAGAGAGAGAGAGAGAGAAAGACAGATTGTGAGTGGGGGAGGAACAGAGAGAGAGGGAGACACAGAATCCAAAGCAGGCTCCAGGCTCTGAGCTGTCAGCACAGAGCTCGAACTCACAAATTGTGAGATCGTGATCTGAGCTGAAGTTGGATGCTCAACCAACGGAGCCACCCAGGCGCCCCTGATTGTTTACATTTTTTTTTAAAGTTTATTTTATTTATTTTGAGAAAGAGGTGGGGGGCAGGCAGAGGGAGAGAGAGAATCCCAAGCAGGCTCTTCACTGTCAGCACAGAACCTGATGCTGGGCTCAATCCTATGAACTGCAAGATCATGACCTGAGCTGAAACCAAGAGGCGGATTAACTGACTGAACCACCCTGTTTACAGGGCATCCCTTTTTACCTATTTTTTTAATTAGAGCTAATTAACTTATCCTTTCCACTTGTACCTCTAGACTCTGGGAATTTAACACCCTTTACCATAAAGTATCAGCCTGCAGCAGATTTCATTAGGAGCCGTCTCTGAGAGGCCACTACATTCCACAGCATCCTCCACGATGTGCTCTCAATGGAATATGAAAATCAAAGTAAAAAATTATGCTCTCTGAAAATATTTGAGAACTTGACGATCTTTTCTCTGAAAACATTAAACATTTAAATAAAGTTTTATATATTAGCACAAAAGATGCCAATATATAACACCTATCACTTCCTCCCCAAATTTTAACCACACAATTAAACAATTTTTTCAATGGAGACCAATAGAACTCTAAGTTGAAGGCTGAGAGCAAGCTGTTCTACCAGGTGACAGGTGACGTGAAGCTGGATGCGATTTCATCCTGTGAAGCCGTAGGGACCAGTAAGTAGTGCGACTAAACAGCCAGTGGAACTAAGCAAGGATGTCAATGGACTCTTGAGCAGGTTTTTGAAAGACAGAGGGAAGTAAAGGGGGAAAGAATGATAAGGATAAAGATAATAGGAAGAGTAAACAAATGAGGCCTAAGAAAGGGTAGGGGGGTGCCTTGGTGGCTCAGTTGGTTAAGCATCCGACTTCAGCTCAGGTCATGATCTTGAGGTCTGTGGGTTCAAGCCCCACCCCCACATCAGGCTCTCTGCTTGTCAGCAGGGAGCTCACTTCAGATTCTCTGTCCCCCCCCACCTCAAAAATGGATAAATATTAAAAAAAAAAAAAAAAAGTGGAAAAGTGCATGGCCAGGAACTTCCCTTATGCCACCCATGCTGGAGGCTGCCTACCCCTAATCGCATTTTCTATTCAGTTTTCTATTCACTTAAGCACAAAAGTCATTTGGACATAAAGTGGTGTGTAAATAACAATGGTACAAATTAAAATATTCTTAAATGCAGTTGAAAGGATTAGAATTACCATAAGTAAAGACAAACCTATGTTTATTTATAATTGTGTACATTTACTTTAAAAGTGTGGAAAGTTGAAGCCAACAGAGTTAAGGTTTTCTTCATACTTGGGAGGGGATCTTCTGCAAACATGTATAAACAGATACAATGGATCAGGAAGTACAAATGAAGTCTTGTTTCTATTTACGGATAGAATTTGAAGCTTAATGCAAGCATGATGCAATTTCCAGTGGATATTACAAGTCTTGTCGTAGGACTGTAGACTAAGGATTTTAACTGGGATCAAAGAAATTTATAAATTTTGAATAAAGTACGATCTGGGTGGTTTATTACTACTGAAATGGATGGATCCTAATAATGTCTACCGCAGTAAAATTTAACTGCAATGTTTCTGGAAGATCCATAGGCAATAGTACCTGATCCAGAGTCTCTGTAAAGGGAGCAAATAGTTGCTCCCTTTATGTTGTTGGCCTCTAATACCAGAATCTTTGAATTTGAGAATTTGCTGAGTTTTATCAGAATTAGGATGATGAGATAGAAAGCAGAGTTCTGACTCTATTCTTTTCCTCTCAAAAAAGTGTCTGGATTGAACCAAAAAATTTAGGCCCATCGAGTCACTTTATTGCAATAGTAACACTCTGTTCAGAGATTACAAAGGATTTACTTTGAAAGATTATGGTACTATTTCTTGTCTAAAACACAAATCCTTATGAATATTAGTATTTTTCATTTTATCTTTAAACTTCAGACTTCTAGAACTTTTTGTACCAAACAACATATGTTATGAAATATGCATTTTATAGAATTCAGCATCGTTTATACTTTTTAACTTTATATTATTACAGCACAGACCTCCCCATAACAGTCTATTATAGTGGAGCTCTTTCAGTATCATAGATCCCATTTAATTCATTCCATTAGACTGAAAGCTGCATATGTGTAATATTGTACACAAAATATTCTGAGATCTAAATACTATACTAAATACTATTAATACTTCAGTCACTTTGCTCTTTTATTATGGAAACTAACCAAGCAAGAGCAAGTCAGATTGTTACTTTTTTTTTTTCTTTCTAAAATCAGCCAAATTTTGAAAGGGAAAACATTTTGGAGGTCTTTACAGAGCAAATTTTCTCTTTTAGAATTCTTTCTGTAAAAAGGGGGTGAGGCAGTCTTAGGAGTCTATGCTAAAACTATCAAAAAAAATTTTTTATAATGGCAAGTTTGATGATTGATCTTAGTTGTATGTTCTCTAAAGTACTGATAATAATCAGGAAATAATGTTTTATGTAATTGGGTGTGAATAAATGAATCCGATAATATCTTACATTATCATTTCTAAGTCATTTTCTAAAAGCTTTAAAATAAGAATATGAAAGGGCAGTATGGTCAAAATATAGTTGTTCTTTTAAGCAACAGAACCTTCCAAAAAACAAATTACCCAAGTTTCCTAAATATGAAATATAGAAGTACTGGAAGTTGCAACCATGTGTATGTAGTAAATGGCTAAGTGATGTCTTCACAATAAAAAAACCACTTAAAATCCTATTAAAAATAAATTCCGCATTCAGCATTCCTACTTTGAACTTTTGGGTTTTTCTAGCTGTTTAATTAACTGCCTCGCTTCCCTCCAGCCCCCTGTGTGCCCTGCCCCACCCCCATCAACAACTACAAATTCATATGCTCTTCAGGTACCTATATCCTCAGCTAGAGGCAAAAAAACAATAGAAGCTGAAAAGAAAAGCAGGGAGATAATAGATTAAGTTTCTGTCCATCCAGAGAAGTTAGAAACCTATGGATCCTGAAGGTGCTTTAGAAAAAGACAGCATTCTTCCCAAGTGAACAAGCTACGTTTGAGGAAGCTCTAATACACATTTATACTTAGGAATTAAATATACTTTGCATATTATTAATTTTCAAAGACATAAATAAGAAACAGGTAGTATGAGGAAATTGTTCTTAGTTTTTTGTAGACGAGTATAGGTCATGGCATGACTTCGGTTTTAATTTTTAGGTCCTTAAAACTTTAATAGCTTTCATACAAGTGTTTTTGTAAATAGAAAAAATATTGGGAATGTTAATGGGGAGCATGCTAGGATAAATACTGATGAGTGCAAATTTTTGCCAGAAAGTTTGAGAAATACAGAAGTTATTTCTCTTTATAAGTGCTTTTAACCTTCCAAGACCCATTAATTTCATAAACCAATTTGAGCAATTATTTCCATCAGAAATACCTTCTGCATGATTAAAAGATTTTTTTCACCATTTGCACCTGAAACTGCAACTTGATAACATGCTCGGTAAGACTCTGCTGAAATGTCAAGTCTAGTGCCAACAAAGTCAGAAGCCAGAAAAAT